GACTCCGATGCTAAAGAGATGGAATGTTTGTTGACGGTCGGACTGTGGTGTGTTCATCCGAACCAAAATTCGAGATCATCGATGAGATAAACAATTACTCCAACGTATGATGTATAGATGGGTTGTGCAATTCAAGCAAGTGAGCCTTGTTTTTTCACTGTTACTATTACTATCCCGCGTTAGATCCATGCATGTTGTGTAAGTACTGGAGAATTAGTATTCAATTTAATGAGCCTAAGAAAAAGGAGGACCAACTACATGAATGCGGAGATTTTAGGCAAAACACTATTAAGAAACAAAGTCATTCGTTATTACCAATAATTAATTAATTTAGTAGGATGAGGCATTAGATCTCATAAACAAGATCAGAGTTTAAATCCCGATATTTGTAAATTGAGTAAATTGAGTTTGGAGAGTCACATCGCCATATTTACTTATTGGGGTTTTTTTATTGATGTGACACTATTAATATAATATTATGTGATATTAATTTTAAGTATTGATTAATAGTCAACTAATAATCTAATAGATTACATCTAAATATGATTATTTTACCTTAAAATGAAACATTGAAGATTAATATGTTTCAGGAAGAAGAAAATATGTCAAAATTACTCTGCAAGCTAAATGTAACTTTATGCCAGATTTGAAATACAATTACATCATTATTAAAATAACAATCAACGAAGTGCAGACACCATGGAAGTAACAAAAGCATCGAAACAGGAAAAAACACAAGAAATCAAATGAACAAATAAATAGACAAAAAGCTAGGTACCAACAACATATGACTGACCGGCTTCCATGTCTGAACCTGCAACACTCCTTGTTTTACCTTTATCCTTCAAGACACGGACACTGGGACCAGAAATTAGGGATTGGCTTCTGCTACAACCACCGGTACGTGACGAAATGAATGCTGAAGATGCAACACTATTGTCTTCAAGAGCTGAACCGAATGTTGGCAGCGGCATCTCCCGTGGTACCATGGGGCATGGAGCTTTGAAACCGAGGATGTCGATAACCTGCGTTATCGACGGGCGGACGAAATAGCCTGGATGAGCACAAGCCAGCCCGACTAAGAGCAACCGTTCCATTTGTTCCATGTCGTAATTGCCATACAATCGTATGTCTGCAGCATCTACAAGACTCTCTTTCCCATACAGCTCCCAAACCCATTCCACCAGTTTTGTCCTGCTTTTCTTGCTATGCCTTTCATGTGCAGCAATGGCCTTCTTTCCAGTGGCTATTTCTAAGATGACGATACCAAAGCTGTATATGTCGGATTCCTTGACGGCTCTGTATGTGTCGAGACACTCGGGGGCTATATAACCATCGGTTCCAAGCATAACTTGAGTTGTTCGAGACCCTTGTCCATGTTCAACAAGCCTAGCCAACCCAAAGTCACCGAGCTTGGCATTGAAACTCAAATCCAACAGAACATTACTTGACTTGATGTCTCGATGCAGCACGCACTGGTCACATTGTTCCTGCAGATAGAACACCGCCGAGGCCAATCCCCTAGCGATTTTATACCTTTTATCCCATGTCAACAAGCATGGCTCTCTATGTAGATGGTAATCGAGGCTCTTATTCGGAAGGAACTCGTACACGATGAGGAATTCCTTATTGTCATGGCACCAACCGATCAGTTGGACCAAATTTCTGTGTCGCAATCGGCTAACAGTTGTAACTTCCGATACGTACTCTTTCACACCTTGTCGGAACCACCCTCTCCGAGCATACCTTCGTCGGAAAAGTTATTGGTTGCAAGTCTTAGTTCCATGTAGGAAAACTGCCTAGGTGCGGTCACCATTTCCATTTGCACATTGACGGAAATGGTCCCGTCTTCCCTGCTGCTGTACTTTCTTCTCCTGCAGAAAAACCAAACTGAACCCAGACCTGGGAGCAAAGCAGAAATGACACCGGCAATGGCTAGAACTACCCATAGCCATGTCCTGCTCTTCCTACCCGAAGGATTGCTTGGGATTTTCGCTGGTGCGGGTGCTTCTGTTGGAGGAGGATTGGTACTTGTATTCAAGGGCCTGGAAACTTGTAATCTAGAGCTGAAATTCCAGGAATAAATAGTGTGCAGCTCGTTCGAGTCTCCTCCGGTGGCTCCTGAGAAGCCAAAAGTGACCCATTCGGGCAAATATAGGCTAAGATCCAGTGTTGTGGAAAGGTTAGATGAATTTTGAGCAGTAGAATCATCAAAATCAATTAGAACACTCAGGTTTCTTGTACTAGAGTTGTATCTGATGAAAGCATAAACCTTTCGCCTATCTTCACTATCACTCAACCACCACCACTGGATAGCCGTGAGAGGAGTTGTGACATTGTTGAGATCAATGCCGACTTGAACTGACATCCCAGGAGGATCCCACAATTGATTGTACGTATCAAACTCCACCGCAACAAAACAAGAGTCGTTTCCCTTGTAGCAACGACTTTGAAGTCCCAAGCAACCACCTCCGGCGTCGGGAGGGATTTTCGTGCCACCGGGAGCGAGGAAAAACGCGAACCCGTCACCGGACATGCCGCCTTGGGAGGAACCGATGGAGAAAGTGAATTGAGTGGTGAAATCTGCAAGTATGAGATTCCCAGATGAGTTGTCCCAGAGGTGCATTGGTTTGTAATAAGTGGCCCGACCAACAGTGTCACCGTTTCCATTTGAACCGGTGCATTGGTTTGATGCGGATGCATCGGATTCATACACCATCTCCGGCGTGGTTTGGTTGAAACGAGTGAAACTGAAGTTGATGTTATCATCAGTTGATGCAGCTTTGGAAAGATGAACAACTAACCTCATAACAAGGATGGATAATAGGAAGACAAATGCATGTTTCCGTGATTCTAGACACAAATTCTCTGCATTTGGAGCTTTCATCATCTTGGGAGTAAGGATTGATGGACGTTACTGCAAACGCAAGGTCACTGATTGCATTTCAGCTCCTGTATTAATATATGTATGTAGGATGGATATTCGACCCGAACTCGACGTATTTCGATCCAATTGTATAATTTTTTTTAATTCAAGTTCTGATTGGATCATATTTTTTAAGGATGAGGTGAGATTGAATTCGAGTTTAAGGTGAAAATACCATGACTTGACTTGGTCTGATATGTGTGTGCTCGTGTACGTGTACGTGTGTGTCGGGTCAGATCAAGTTTTTTATCTCAAAAATCAAATCGAGTGGAGCACTCTTAAACTTGGTTTGAGTCGGGTGCGGGTGAAGGTGTTTAATTTTCAGATCTAGTTTTGATGAGCCAAAAATCCGATTTTTGTGTGTGTTTATCGGCTCAGATTAGGTTTTTATCTAAAAATCGGATGGGATTGAGTACTCCTAAACTCGGGTCGAGTCCTATGTGGGTGGAAGTGTTTAATTATAGGCTCTAGTTGAAATGAGCCAAAAGTTCGATCTAATCCGACCCGTCCTATGATCATCCCTAACTATGTGTATTAACAAGTGGTTTTTAGATTCATGTAACTTTTGGCCCCTGACTTTGATATCGGTATACAATTTGACCCCCCGACTTGCGGCCAAGAAAAATGACACTGGCGCATGTTACTAAGAAGCGTATCCAAAGGTGGAACGAGAGATTTGGTCAGTCGTGTTTAAAGGTTAATTTGCTACAATCCAAAACTATACAATGTAAGTCATTATAACTAAATTTCAATACAATTAGACGTGTTTATGGATCGAAAGTTTTCGAATAATGTTATCAAATTTTACGTATTCAAGGTTCTGACGATAAACTTGATTTACTCTACTTGAATTTTTGACAAAATCTCCGTATTATTTGGTAATTTACATTTTCATTTAAATTTAAATATAAACTATTGAACATAAAAACAATAAAGCCTTAAGCCCTTACAAGAAAAAAACATGCATGCATGGGTTTTCTCCTTTTTAATCAAGAAAAAATTGCTATAGAATAATTCGATGTATAAGAGCTTATTTGAATACCAGAAGAAAGTAAGTACTTACTTAGCAAAAGTAAATTAATTCAAGGGCTCTTTTAGTAGTTTAGCCGATATATTCAATACCTTGTCTTTTCTCATTCTAAAGAAACAAAATCTCCTTTGAAATAATTGAATATAAAATTAGAGTTGAATGTTATAAACTTATAATTAAATAAATTAAAAACGTAGAAGTATAAATAAACCAACAGATAAAAATTAATGATATTTGATGTAATTTATTTTTATTGAAATAAATTATAATTTAAATCAAATTGACAGAATGTGTAAGTAATGAAAATTAAGTATATATTTATATTAATTTTATTAACTATTACATTAAATATATATTGATATCTTTTAAATAATTAAATAATTTGATTGATAAAATTAAACAATCAAATTAAAATATCTATAGTTAAGTGAATTATAAGCGATAAAGGTACCTTTATCTTTTTATTTATTTATTTATCATGTCTTATATTATTAGATTATAATGAGTAAAATATACATATAGTCCTCTAACTATAGGATGTTACTTTGTTGAGTTCTCCGATTATTAAAAGTTACAAATGGTCACCTGGCTATTTAATATGTTCCAAACTCGTCCTTTTACGTTAAAAATTCACGGCGTCTGAGCTGGATATTAACCTGATGACTTAGATATGATAAAAATTGATTCTATAATCTAAAAAAACTATCATATCTCAGTCAACAGGTTAACATCTAGTTCAGAGTGTTGTCAATTTTTTAACAAAAAATGAAGAGTTTGGAACATGCTAAATAGTCATGCAACTATTTTGTAACTTTTAATAGTCGATGACTCAACAAAGCAACACCCTATAGTTGAATAACCATTTTGTAACTTTTAATAGTCGAGTGACTCAACAAAGCATCACCCTATAGTCGATGGACTATTTATGTACTTTACCCGATTATAATTTGTTTATTCAGGTGAATAACAAACAATTCATGCATCATACTACTAACAAAAAAAATAATTAAAAAGTGCCAAAAATGGCCATAAAAATCATCCCAATGATGAAGACAGAACAGAGACAATTAAAGCTCCCTCAGCTAATGATTTTTGCACGAGACAACACCAAAAAGAAAACAGAGTTTGAAGAGTTCATTCTTCAGCCGCACTGGCAGCACTCAGGTCCACGGATAAATCAAGAGCCTGCACAATATGACCAACTGTTTATTCGGATTCGGATCGAGTTCAAATACAGATATTAGGTGCGAATACTTTAGAGAAAACGAAGAAGCTGGATAAATAATGTGTGTGTTACTTTGGAGAATGGAACCTTACTTTTCCAGTAATCTTAGTATACATCTGGATCACATCGTTCACAGTGGTTTCAAAGTGTGTCGTCGGATCATAACTCTGCAACGAAATTTCGGTACCCGAGTCGTTAAATTATATACTTCAAAGTATTTAAGGTTCATTCGGATCATACAAAAACATGCAGAGTAATGAAGAGAGAAGTGTGTCCTTACAGCAGATATGAAGCAGTTGTCGGCTGTGTGGTCGTTAGTCGGGACATATCTGTCGTAAGTGTCGTAGAATATCTCATCCACCGGTCCCAGTAGCTTAATTCCGGGCTCCAACTCTACCTTGGGGTCATCGGTCTCGGCCTCTGTCGAAACGAAAGCGATGTATTTTCCCTTGGGAGCCACATTATGAGCATATGAGCAACAAAAAAGGTACCTGCAATATCAAAAGTAAACCTATGAAGGTGCAGAGAACCTATGATAAGCAAATTTAGATAGGTGCTATCCGCATACATGTCCGATTTACGGCCGAGTTGCTTCTGAGGCAGAATAACTTGGGCCGAGTGCGAATCATTGGTATCTGGAATAGGATGGCTCATTATGCAGATGGCACGCGCTACTTTTCCAACCTTCTGAACCTGTTGCATCAAAAGAACATGAAGAAAAAAGTTGAAATACTTGTGTTTTGAGGATGCATAAAACGAAAAATAAGTGAGAGGCATCGTTTCTTCGGAAGTTACCCTATCGGTCAAATAAGATGGATCACAAACAACTTTCTTGCACTTAGCAGTTTCCCCTTCGGAAGTCACACCGATAACTTTACCATCATCACCGAATTCTACCTGCAACCCGAAATTTCAACAGAGAAATGTAAAGATGCCTACTTGCCAATTTGTGAATTACAAAAACCAGGGATCACAAAACGTCCAGAAAGCAGAGAAGCGAAATGACATTCTCAAACTAGTTAGCAGTTACATGTACATTGGAGAAAACGAAGCAAAATACATGTAGGGTTCCATGTTCCGGGAGAATTACCTTGCATTCGGGCTTGTTGAGCATGTAAGTACCTCCATAAACTGCACTTAAACGTGCAAATGCCTGCCGATGGAACGTAATTACAAGTCAACCTCAACATACATGTTTCTATTCAACTAGGGAAAAAGCAAATTACAGATAATGAAAAACCTGAGGCAATTCTCCCAGTCCATATAGTGGATAGATATAAGGAGATCCTCCTTGAAACCGAGCCAATGACTCTGCATAGAGCTATACAAAAAGCAATTGCATAAATACTGAATATAATTATCAATATGATATAGGAAACAAATTTTTACCTTAATACGCTTAACAAAACTCAAAGCTGGCTGATCCAAGTAACTATCATCACTGTAAAGTGCCAGGGAGTGACCAATGAAGTCAATTGTATTATCTTCTAGCCCATACTTTCTACATTGCAAACAATACCATGTATCAAGACCACAGCTGGAGCAAGCTTTTTAGAGGGCAATATGGGTGAGAAACATACGAGATAAGTTCTTTCGCCGTCACTACATTCAAGTCTAGTCCTTCATGAGATTTTGGGTCGTCATCCTCATAGTCTTGGACATAAATGAAGAACTTTCTGGCACGGCGCTTCTCAAACAGCCCCATCAATGGTGATTTCAGTGCTTCAACGTCGGTCGCCGGTACTTTGTAGATCTACAAGTAATGGTGATTAAGTCATTGAAGACCACAAACGTTTGAACTAAACAAATGGTACAAAATTTTAAAAACTACAATCCCTTACTTTCGACTTGTTGTACACGAAACTACCATCCACGGCCTTGAAGTTAAGATACTTGGTAACATCAGTGTGGATGAGAATTCGAACCAGACTGCCATTGGCCATCATGAACTGCGGAAAAACCACATCAAGCATTGGTCATGAAACATGAATAACTAGCACAAATAACAAAATTTGGAGGTCATATAGCATGCCTTGGGAACCATGTCAACATTATAATCCCTGCTTCCGCCTAGCGTTTCCGGAGGCTTCTCATCTCCCTTGAAATGTTTCCAAAGCTATACATACATATACATCAGTAAAACAAAGTTGTGAAATTTCCCAAAGAAAATATCAGATATGAACAAAATAGCTATGAATGTCATAAAAGAAGAATGACCTGCGTAAGATTAAGTGAAGTCGATTCTCCGCCGTAATAGTCATTTCTGTCCATGTGCAATACCTATGGAGGAAATGCAGATATCCAATCGGTTAACGCAGAATCCGATACCAATATGCTCATATTTAGAGGGTCATACACGTACAACGACATATATTTTAAGAAAAACAAAGAGTTCGGGCATCATTAACATCAATCTCACTTCCTATCACCGATGTCACCTTAACCAATACTAATTCCCACCTTCTGTTCGTAATAATGCCTGTGTGAAAAATGTTCAAAAAATGAAAGGAAGAGAGAGTTCCCAAGATTCTTAAAAGAAAACCCAGATTACAAGAGGTTTTGATTTTTGAAACATTAAAAGCAATCAAAATCAAAGAAAAAAAGATTGAAAAATGAATTGAAAAAGAAAAAGAAAAAAACTTACTTTGAGCCCATTAACGGAGAGAAGGCCACTGAGAATGCATTCCTTAAGACCAGTCCCTAAGACTATCACATCATACTCTTCATCCATGGCTGAATGAATATGTTCTTAAACACACAAGGATTTTTCTTAGTTTTTTTTCTTTTCATTGAGAATGAATGTGCATTGAAATTAAAAGCAGAGAGAGTTGGGTTTCCCCCCCCCCCCCTTTTCGGTTAGTGATTTGGAACAAGTCTTCAGCTGAAGTAACGAGATTAACGGCTTTCGAAGAGTACTAAATTCACGCTATTTTCTGCGCGTGGTTATGCATAGAGCTTAAAATGCTCTAATATTAGACTTTATTTTATTTCTTTTCTTTAATATATTATTTTCATGTTTAATTGTTATAGATCATATCATTGATTTTCAATTAAATAAATGGTTTTATTAATTCAAAATTAATCACATGAAAAATTAATTATTATAGATGAATTTTAGATACGGAATGAGACATTACATTTTTTAAGTAAGGTCAGAAGTTCGAATCTTGAAATTTACAAATGGAACAAATTGATTTAAAAGAGTCTCCTCATAATAGACCTGTGCAAATCCGATATAAATTAATCAATCAATAGATTAATTTTAAATACTCAAATAATAATTAATTATTTTGACTGATAATTATTTTAAATAAATAAGTGTTGGATGGAAATATATTTGATGTATACATGTAAAAGAAATTATTCACTCATATTGAAGTCCAACATTTATAAATGTGGGTTCCACTTAATCTTTTAATAGGCCAACAAAGCTTTAAATTGTAATCGGTCAATTCACAGTATGATTATTATTAGGTTTCCATGCCAATTTGACTATTTTTGATTCCATCTGATTTATAATATTATATTTTTTTTAAATTTAAATTCGAGTCAGGTCAGTATTTTTTAAGGATGAGATTGAGTCGAATTATGATTTAGAATGAAAAATATTTAATTTGACTTAAAATAATAATATAATTATTTCTTAAATATTTTAAAAATAGTTACAATAATATCCATTTCTTTATATTTTTTAATTAAGTCTTTATTTTATCGAATAAAAATTATATATATAGGCCGAGTCCAGTCAAATGTGATGCAGGTTTTAACGCAAAATAAATCAAATTTTAGATAGGATAAAACATTCCCTAGATCTTTCAAACTCAGCCTGTACTCATTTCTATTTCCAAACGCTCATTGATCTTTTTAATGAAATGAGAATTTTAAAAAAAATTGATTTTACATAAAAAAATAACGAAAGATAATTACACAAATTTTATTTAAAAAGAATAAATATGAACGGTGTGTGTTAAAGATACGTAATTGTATGAGCACAAACACGAATTGAACTGGATGACGACGATGATGCACATGTATTAACCCATATTATTTAGATATATAGATTTTCAAATACTTGAATATAATATTTTAAGAATTTATTTAACAGATGGTTAAACATAAGGTTAATGTATAGTGTCGTCTTCGTCCAACTCGACTCGTATTGTTCTCGTACTCATGTAAGTATATACCTTTGACATGTACCACACGTTTTTTTCTTTTCTTTTTATTGACAAAATTCACATATGTTTACTACTTTTTCTTTTCTTTCATCGACAGAAAACGCTTTCTACAAAATGCGTATTTACCTACGTGACAAAAATGTAACAAAAATATATATTAGAACGAGAATTAATCAACAATGAATATTATTTTAGTAATTAATTATTTTTAAATGATATTTTAGTAAAAAAAAAAGCCCCTATGCACATAGCAGACCTATGCATAGCTGACTTTTGGAAGGACTAATTTATAACATGTTTTGCTGTTAGAGAGTAGAAAAAAATAAAATAAGTGTTTTTTCTCATTTGATTTAATTTAATTTAATCCAGTTCAATTTAATATCATTATAAATTAATTAAAATTTTTAGACCAAATTAATATGTTTCATAAATGGCACAAAAAGTTAATTTTAAATTCTCAAAAGATAATGAAAAACAATATTAACAATTTCACACTTAACTAAATAAAAGAAGATTATATAATTTCAATGAATTAAATTTTAATTTTATTGATATGATCATTATTATAACATTCTAGAGATTCTGAGTTAAATATATGTTTAAAGATATACTAAATTTTAATTTTAAGATTTTGATGATTACGTATAATTTAGGTATTTTATAAAAAAATGAATTTCAATTTATTGTTTTCTTATTAATTATTAATATCTAATTTTTCATGATCTGGATTATTTAATAAGCTCGTTTGATTGGAAATAAAATGGGGATAGATTATCCGTTAGATCACTAATCTATTTTTATATTTCTATTTGAATCACTAAATTATTTTCTTCAAATCATAAACAACGATACATTTTGTTTATATTTTGTTCATCATTAGTTAGGTTTAACTATTGACTTGAACCTTTAATTAGGGATGGACATGGGTCGGGTCGGGTTTTTGGTCCATCCGACCCGACCCGAGAACAAATGATCCTCCTCTCGAGACTTGACCAAAACAAAATTTCACCCGACCCGACATATAACTTAGAAACTTGATTCGACCCGAAATAATAATAAAAATATTATTTTTATTCAATAAAAATAGTGACTTAATTGAAAAAATTATATATAGAGAAATATTATTTTAATTATTCCTAAATATATAAGATAATTTTTTTTGAGGTCGAGTCTATTTTTCACCCTAAACCCGACCCTAACCCGACCTAAATTTTACACTTAAAAAAACTCGACTTGAACCCAATTAAAAAAAAAAGACCCGATCGTGTTTGGTCACATGCCCATCCCTACCTTTAATGTATAAATGAACATTCATCGCTTCAAAAATAAGACAATAACTCCATATAAAATACTTAAAAGATAAAAAAAATTAGGAGAATAGATAAAAAAAAACTAAAATAAATAATTTTCCAATAAAACAACTTAAATTCAAATTATAAATGCCCAATCACATGATGTAAAAAATATGATTATTTTTTATAGAATGTATGAAAAATAATTTGAGTTCTTCAGAAATGACAAAAGCCATAATGTTAGGTTAAGGTTCGGCGCACCTTATTAAAGACGACCGTCGCTATGCTAAAGCTGTACCACATTCCATAAATTCCTTTTAATTTACCAAAACACCCTTTCCAGCAAAGCTTTTCATATTTTTTGGGTCAAATTTTCTAAAAATGTCCTTTCACTGTACACTGTTATCAAGTTTAATCCTTCAATTTTTTCCTTTCTCGAAACTGTTAACCTCCAATCCATCAATGATCGATAGTTACTTTGATGATAATATTTATTTTGAAATTATGTTATTAATTTTTTGCTTTTATTTTGGTTTGATAGACTCAGATTGATTTTCAACTTGACATTTACATCACTGCTTTCGATATATTTAGCTTACTATGTATTGTTCTCATGCATTGGTATCACCCGAACTCTTTTATCTTATTCTAACAAAAAGAATCAAATTATTATAGACGGACAAATTCACTAAAACTGCATAGTATGGGGACCCTCTAAGGAATTGGACAAATTCATTTTGACCAAAACACCTTTTACAGCAATGCTTTCCATATTTTTAGCATTATTTTCACTTTTTATTTGTCCTTTTCATTTTGCATTTCAAAAACTTCAAAGTTCACTATCCATACTTGAAAAAATCACTACAATATGATCAAATAATCTTTTTGGCTACAATAATTTTGAAAACTATAAAATGATTATTAAAATTTTCAAATAATTTAAAAATAATCTTTAACTTTATCAAAATTATAATAAATGATAATCAATTTATATATTTTTCTACAATTGATTATAACGTCATAACAATTGTTTTATAGTAAATCAATAAATTTAATAATTATTTTAAGTTTAGTGATCAAACTGATTAATTTGACGTAGTTCATTGACTTGTGTACTTTACGAGAAAAAACACTTTCCACTCACACTGAATATCAAAAGACAATAATACCCATAAACAATCATCATTATTCCACCCAAACCAACCGAAACCCTTAGTAATTTGTTCCAAAACATCTGTCCTAATCCGTCCATTTGAGAACAAAATGTGACGGTTTTGTCTAGTTTTTCCATTATCGAACAGAATAGTTTCCTCTCACCAAAAAAAAAAAAACAGTGGGAGAGAAGGAAAAGAATGGACGGTAACACTACTGAAGCTGAACGTTGGCTCTCCATAGCCGAGAAGCTCTTGGTGTCACGTGACTTGCACGGGACTCGGACGTTTGCGATCCGAGCACGGGAAACGGCGCCGGTTCTCGCCGACCAAATCCTCGCCGTGACCGACACTCTCTTGGCGGCTCAATCGAACCCTCAAGATTGGTACGGGATACTCCAACTCGTTCCGTTGACTCAGTCCATGGAGGTGGTGGCGAGTCAGTATAGGAAACTCTCTCTCCTCTTGAATTACGGCAAGAACGGGCTGCCGTTCGCGGATCAGGCGTTTCGATGCGTTTCTGAAGCTTGGAGTGTGTTGTCTAACCCGTCTAAGAAGGCCATTTACGATAACGAGTTGAGGTTTCTTCAGTTCGGTCCGGTGAGTCAGTTTAGTCAACAGTATCATCATCAACAACAACAGCATGCGCAATTTCAGCAGCAGCCTCAAACACAGACGCTGTTTATGCAGCCGCCGCCGCCGAAAGAAACACAAACTCTATTCATGCAACAGCCTCCGAAAGAGACGCAAACTCTTTTAATGCAACCACCAGCGCCTCCGCCTCCTAAAGAAACGCAGACGCTGTTTATGCAACCGCCGACGCATCCGCCTCCGAAAGAAACGCAACCTCTGTTTATGCAGCCACCGGCGCCTCCGCATCATAAAGAAACGCAGACGCTATTTATGCAACCGCCGGCACCTCCACCTCCGAAAGAAACGCAAACGCTGTTTATGCAAACGCCGCCCAAAGAAACGCAACCGCTGTTTGCGATAAGAAGCCCTACGAATAGTAGTAAGGATGGGAATGCTGCATTTGAAGGGGGAGGGCAGTTGGGTTTAAATAATAATCTGCCGGAGCCAACTCGTCCGGCTGAGTCAACTTGGTCGATGCAGATGAATCAGATAGGTTTAGCTTGGCCGTGTCAGATTAATCAATCAGGACCAGTTGGTTCGAGCCACATTAGTCGGCCAGAGCCTACACGGACAAGCCAGGTTAATCGACCGGAGCCTACCCAGGCGAGCCAGGTTAATTGGCCGGAACGTACCCAGGCGAGCCAGGTTAATCTGCCTGAGCCTACGCGGACTAGCCAGGTTAATCAGGTAGGAATTGCTTGCTCGAATGAATTTAATCGGACTGAGCCGGTTCAGAGAGTTGAGATTAAGCAGAAACCACTTACTTCTCCTCCTCCTCCAGCAGCAGCAGAGTATACTCGAACAGAGTCAAATGGTGTGACTGGGATGACTGATTCGACTCGGCCTAGTCAAGCCACTGAGTCACAGGGACCGACTTTCTGGACAGCTTGTCCGTACTGTTACGTTCTCTATGAGTATCCTAAAATGTACGAGGATTGTACACTAAGGTGTCAAGCTAAGAATTGCCGGCGAGCTTTCCATGCAGTTGTGATACCGCCGCCGCCGGTGAACGGAAATGATACCCATTTCTTTTGTTTGGGGTTTTTTCCCTTAGGGTTTTCGGGAAAAGATAAGAATAAGGGCGGTAAGTTTCCCAGTTGGTCCCCTATTTCCAACATGTTTGCTTGTCCCATGGACCACGTCACTGGAAAACAAAAGCCTGCTCCAAGAGTGTATTACGAAGATTATGATTCATACGTAGAGATTTTCGATTCAAGTGGACCTTCGGAGGATGATGACGATGACGATGAATGGCAGAAATATGAGAGGAAGAAGAAGCGGGCAAAGAATGCCAAAGGGAAAGGATCTGCTGGGAGAAAACCTAAGAAAGCACCGAGCGAGACAGTGGATACGGGGAGCAATCAGCAAGTTAGTGCGGCTCACAGTGCGAAGTTGAATGGTGTTCCAGTGGTACCTGAGGGCCAGCTAACTGCTGAATCGAGCAGAGGGGGTGTCACAAATAGTGGGAGGAAGCAGATGGTAAAAGGAGCAAAGAGTCTAGGGAAATTGGATTTGAATGTGGAGTTTAGCAATGAAGTGGAAGAGCCGGTGTCAAGGAGGAGTGAGGGGAACCATGCTGGAATAGGGGAAGAGGATAACATCGAAGGGAATGGATTTTTTGAGGGTCTTGATGAGTTCTTAAGTAGCTTGCCTATACTCTCCAATGTCGGGGACGAAAAAGTTAAGGCTACTTAGTGAAGTAAGATCCGTGTTTCCTTTTTTCAGCAGCTGTAGTTGTTCTAATTGTATGCTTATAGTATCTAATCATGTGGAGGTACTTGGGATATCCTTTTATAGCCTTTTCATGGTTGCAGTTAACTGTATACTTTGTATCGTTGTATGTTGTTATCATTTTTATTGTTCAGAGCTGCCTGTTTATTCCTAGTGAATTTTCCTGTTTGGGTGGACAGGTTAGGAAGTTCAGTACATAACCATGAGGCATTTCGGGTTGACGATCAAATATCTGCCCATCATAATTCTTGCAAGTTTCCCTCTTTTAGAAAAGGGAAAGAAATAAAAGGGTCGAAGCTGTGATATACCGATGGTGAAAAAATATGCTTCGAGAAAAGTTGAACCGGGCTCTTTAGGCTGTTAGTATTGCTTTTTTAGAAGGGAGGGGATTAATAGCAGAAGAAGATTCAGTTGTTAGGGATTCAATTACTAATGCCTGTGTTCTAAGCATGACTCACCAAAGGTTATTTTTCACTATCATTCAACTCTTTCTATTCAATGCAATATATTAGGTTTAATATATTCTTTTGTTGATTGTATCGTTGCTTTTACTTTGTCTGCTTGTAATTCATGCATCTTTCGCTATCGTGAACGCGTTAACTAGAATTATCGACAATAATTTTTACTTTCTTCCTCTTGGTTCCTTTGGTGTGGATTGCCCGAAACCTGATAGTGATTTGAAGAATGGACTTTCCTCTGTTATCTCTGGCTCTTTGTTTTTGTACTTTCAAGGGCTGAAGCATCCAAATCTTTTGGTAATATGTCGCGACTAATCCTTATGACCTAGGAGTATAGAGATTTCAGTCTGAAGGAGTTATGCTGTCTGACTCTGGTTCAAGTATGCAGTTTCATCTTCTAGTTGCAGAGAATCACAAACTTGCTGATATGCTCATGATCTGGCTATCAGCTTGCCATACCAATTGTGATAAGCTCGTTGCCCTTGTTTAGGACACATAGGTATGTTTAATTATTTTTCACAACTTTCATGTATTTGAAGGGTCTTTTGAGGAATCATCATAAGATAGGCGATAGTCAACTCTTCTATGATTAGCGCAACCAAGTTATATGAAGCAATAAATCTAGTTAGTTGCAACATGAAAGGCTGCAGATTTTAGATATTCCTATTCCATCTGTGCTATGAATTTGGCTTTATTTCCCCTTTGTGGTTGGTGTTGATGTTGCTCCAACATATTTCTATCAGCGAAGGAAAGAAATGCCGGAATGACGACTGCTTATCTTGATTGAGTTCGGAATCGTTGCAGTTTGTTGCTCCGAATCATCATTTCTCTTCCACTGTCCATGTCTGGCGCATATCGGGACCTTAGTTCAGGAGCTGAGATCGTCTCATATTCACATAATCAAACTGCATTCAAGTAATGAATGAATGAGAAGTTGAGCTTGCAAAATATAAATTCTTGAAGCTAGAATTGGCCATTGTTCTTGAGGTGGTAAAAGTAAAATTGCCAAAACTTCCCGAGCTTGTCCAAAGTTATCAAAACCTGAATTACCAAAAGTTAGAGTTATCCAACCTGATTTACCTAAAATCCTAAACACACCGAAACCTGCAGATTTATAAATATTTGTTTGAATGGCATTATTCTGGTCATTTTTGTATTATCATATGTACTTCCTACATACTAAGATTCGAACGTACACAAATTGATACAACATAAATATTTTTGAATATTCGATCAATTAATAGACATCTGTATTATATTATATGCCAAAGGTTGTATACAAATTGATACGACATAAATATTTTTGACTATTCGATCAATTAATAGGCATCTGTATTATATTATATGTCAAAGGTTATATTACGTTTGTATACATAAATAGAGGTGAAGAAAATTTAATTTAATTTGAAAATTAATAAAAAAAAATTAAGTTTTGAATTGTTCGAGTTTATTCGATTAAATCATTTTGAATATTTTAAGTTCTATTATTGCATTCAGTTCGAGGACTTACACTTTGAATATTTTAAATTTCTTTTGGACTGCTAAGTCATTTTTTATGTCCATTGCAAGTAACCAAACTTTAGCAGCTTAATTTCTTTCTGTCTCTCATTTTAGACGTATGTAGTTGGTAGATAGTTGAACAAATAAAAAAACAACAATTAAAGCTCCTGGCTGGCATGTTATACAATGTAATCTGTATATATATTTCTATCGTATTTATTTTATTTTTTTTATTATAACTGTGTTTAAATTTTTATATAAAACTTATTGTGTTCATATATGGTATAATATTTAAATTAATATTTGTGAGTGTCAAATGTATAATTGGCAGTCAAATGTATGTGTCATCAATTCAGAGTTCGATAAGGTTTCGAGTAACGAATAGGTGAGAAGTTGAGCTAACAAAATGCAGATTTTCTCACCAAACACTTGGAAAATCTGATGGTTTTCCACTTCCCAATACCTATAAAAGGCTCATTAGCTCATGCAATTGCATAAACAACAAATACTCTAAACCATTTCATATTGTCACCTCGCATCCTTTTGCCCTCAATCATGGCTTGCCATCGTTTCCCTTTCTTTGCACCACTCATCACTTTGTTATTGATGAGCAGTGATACCATCTCGGTTGGTGCCCGACGTCTCTTAGAAGAGTCTGTGCCTGAAAAACCCGAGCTTCCTAAACCCGAGTTGCCGCATATACCGTCCTTCCCAAAGGTTGAACTCCCAAAACCCGAGTTACCGAAAATTTCAAAACTTGAAATACCTAAAATACCTGAGTTGCCTAAGCCTGAATTACCTAAAGTTCCAGAGTTGCCAAAGCCTGAATTGCCTAAGGTTCCTGAGTTTCCAACAGTGCCAGAGTTGCCAAAGCCTGAACTTCCTAAAGTTCATGAGTTGCCAAAGCTAGAATTACCTAAGGTACCTGAGTTTCCAAAAGTGCCCGAGTTGCCAAAGCCAGAACTTCCAAAGGTTCCTGAGTTGACTAAGTTGCAGAAATCTGAAGAAGTCAAAGTTCCAGAGTTACCGAAGTCAGAATTGCCTAAAGATCCTAAGCTACCAAAAGTTCATGAATTACCGAAGTTAGAATTACCTAAAGTTTCTGAGGTGACCAAAGCTCCTGAAATACCTAAAGTTCCTGAATTACCAAAACCAGAATTACCTAAAGTTCATGAATTACCAAAACCAGAATTACCAAATGTTCTGAGTTACCAAAGGCAAAATTACCTAAAATTCCCGAGTTACCAAAACCAGAATTACCTAAAATTCCTGAATTACCAAAACCAGAATTACCTAAAATTCCTGAATTACCAAAACCAGAATTACCAAAAGTTCCAGAGTTATCAAAGCCAGAATTACCTAAAATTCCCGAGATACCAAAACCAGAATTACCCAAAACTCCTGAATTAACAAAACCATAATCAACTGATGTTCCAAAACTATCCAAACCATAATTACCCAAATTATTAAAATGCTGAAACCCCAAAGTCATGGCAATGCCTTTGTTTTCTTAAACATTAAGCATATGGTTTATAGGTATTCTTCTTATAGAAGACTGTTTGATTATTGAGTTCATTTCATGAGTCATGAGTTCTCGTCTATGTATTATCATGTATACTTTCTAAATAAATTTATAGTTTCATACAATGTTTGATTTCTCTATTTAGTACGTTCGACTTAAGAGCATTTTGGCAAATCATCTAAAAGATTTACAAATTCCCGAAGATAAAAATTAAGAAAGACAAGTAAATGGGTTAGTGAAGTCGGCCTGACCCAATTAACATCAGTTGTAACAAAAAGTTTACATAAAAATATAGGTATAATTCTCGTTTTAATCCCTCTGCTATACTAAAATTTAATATTTAACACTTTTATTTTAATTTAACATATATTTTTTAATAAGATATCCACTTTTGGGCATCGTCAATGTGTTTTAATCATCCTAACGTGTAAGCAACTCTTAAATTCGATTCGGACTCTCTGTTTCAAACGTGAACCTCCAAAATTATCTCTTTTTTTCAAATAAAATCTTCAAATTTCTTTTAAAATGGTGATTTGATAGGTATTCGATCATATCTAGTTTAAAAGGATTGATGGTGAATTTGGTTTACATAACAAAATCATGCTTTTAAAGATAAAATATTTTCAAACCTAGAAAACAATCACAATAGGATCATAGTTTTGGGATAAAATTGGAATGTCAATAAGTTTATGGATTAATTTAGAATGAAAGTCATAATTTGGGGACGTATGTTACAATTAACTCAATTTAATTTGAATATTTTTGAATTGAATCAAGTGAAATAAAATTCAAGTAGAAAAAAAAATTATTGGCATGGACAAAATCGTAGAAAATGATCCAACATACTAGTTAGGGATAATAGTTTGACATAGACATGATAGGTTTTGACATGACTTGATCATATAAGGTCGATAATTTTTTAAAATTTGAGTTCGAATAAGATTTTGTGTGAGGTCGGATCGTATTTGACATAACATATTGGTTAGGAATGACAATTTTTTCGGCAAATATTGACCCAGTTATATCTTACAAATTTAGTTTTTTTAAAATTTAAGTTTAGATAAATCTTATGAGATAATTAAAATTTAATAATTCGAGTTAAGCATATACATACTAGTTTCAAACAATTATTAGACCTACAGATTCAACCCCTAACATGGGTCAAACTCAACTACTTTCCTATTACAATAATTAAGATTCTATGAACTTCTACAATTGGTCCATTTATCCGAGTATGTTCATCTCCCAGGAATGGCTTAAGAGTAATCTATTTATAATACATACATGTGATAGTAACATGTTTATGCTAAGATGTATGATTTATATTAAAAATAATAACAGTAATTGTCTGAAGAAGGTCAAAATGACCATCCAAATCATAATTATATATTAAAGTTTTTTTTATAAATTCCGCCATCGAAAGTTAATTTATGTATTTGAATTCGTGACTAACATTTAATAATGTGACTTCTTGTATGAATCACGTTTGTGATAATCTTAGTATTGTTTCTTAAGTTTAAATGTGTTTTAAATATGACTCCGGTTTCTCTCTCTCGTTTTTTCAGGGTTTTATTATGATTAATCCAAATCGATCCGTGTTGAGTACTTGACTTTGGTGGGTGAGTTTCCATTAGGAATTTTCTACATGCAAAATATTTTAAACTCAAAACCTACTTAAGCAGACAATTTAAAATGTGACATATAAAAGTAAAAAAATGAAATATAAAATGTGACATATAAAAGTAAAAAATGAAAAATAAGTGTTGTTGTTTGTTGATTTTTCTAATATGACATTTTATATGAGACAATTTAAAAAACTAAAGCAGACAAATTTAGTGGGATGGAGGGAGTATGGGATATGATCCAATTACATATTGTAAAACTTTTTAGTTTTCCAAATATTTAATACCGTTAGATGAGTGAATATAGACGATTGAGATTAACCCATAGAAGAATATCAAAATAAAATAATAAAAAGAAAGAAACAAATAAATAAAAACACAGAATCATAGTTGCAAAAGCAAGTTGGTAGATATATAGTTGAACAAACCAGAAATACCCAACAAGGCTTCTTGGTAGCAATGATGTACGGGTATATTTAAGTAATATTTGTCTTAATCTTTTTATATTATAAATGATTTTCATAAATTATGTTATAACATTATATCCTATATGATCGTTCAACATCCAACTAATCATATCAGAGTTTGATATGATTTTTAAGTAAGGAATAGGTGATAAGTTAAGCTAACAAAATGCAGATTTTCTCACCAAACACTTGGAAAATCTGATGGTTTTCCACTTCCCAATACCTATGAAAGGCTCATTAGCTCATGCAATTGCATAAACTACAAACACTCTAAACCATTTCTTATTGTCACTTCGCATCCTTTTACCCTCAATCATGGCTTGCCATCGTTTCCCTTTCTTTGCACTACTCATCACTTTGTTATTGATGAGCTCCGATACCATCTCGGTTGGTGCCCAACGTCTCTTAGAAGAGTCTGTGCCTGAAAAACCCGAGCTTCCTAAACCTGAGTTGCCACATATACCGTCCTTCCCAAAGGTTGAACTCCCAAAACCTGAGTTACCGAAAATTCTGAAACCTGAAATACTAGAGGTGCCTGAGTTACCTGAGTCTGAATTGCCTGAAGTTCCAGAGTTGCCAACAGTGCCAGAGTTTCCAAAGCTTGAACTAACTAAGGTTCCTGAGTTTCCAAAAGTGCCAGAGTTGTCAAAGCCTGAACTTCCAAAGGTTCCTGAGTTGACTAAGTTGCTGAAATCTAAAGAAGTCGAAGTTCCAGAGTTACCGAAGTCAGAATTGCCTAAAGCTCCTGAGTTACCAAAAGTTCCTGAATTACAGAAGCCAGAATTGCCTAAAGTTCCTGAGGTGACCAAAGCTCCTGAAATACCAAATGCTCCCGAGTTACCAAAATCAGAATTACCAAAAGTTCTTGAATTATCAAAACCAGAATTACCAAAAGTTCTTGAATTATCAAAACCAGAATTACCAAAAGTTCCTGAGTTACCAAAGTCAGAATTACCTAAAGTTCCTAAGTTATCAAAGCCAGAATTACCAAAAGTTCATGAATTATCGAAGCCAAAATTACCTAAAGTTCGTGAATTATCAAAACCATAATTACCAAAAGTTCCTGAGTTACCAAAGCCAGAATTACCTAAAGTTCCCGAATTACCAAAATTTCCAGAGTTACAAAAACCAGAATTACCTAATATTCCCGAGATACCAAAACCATAATCACTCAAAACTCTTGAATTACTAAAAGTTTCAGAATCACCAAAACCTGAATTAGCGGAAGTTCCAAAACTATCCAAACCATAATTACCCAAATTATTAAATTACTGAAACCCAAAAGTGATGGCAATGCCTTTGTTTTCTTAAACATTAAACATATGGTTTGTATGTATTCTTCTTATAGAATGATGTTTGATTATTATATTTGAGTTCATTTCATGAGTCGTGTGTTGTCGTCTATGTATTATCATGTATACTTTCTCTATTTATAAATTTATAGTTTTATACATTGTTTGACTTCTCTATTTAGTATGTTCGATTCTGTCCAACTAACTTGGTTCTATGGATGGTAAATTGATAGTGTGAATTTAGATATTTATTTATATTCGATTATTTTTATACAAATTCTGATATCATTCGGATTCAAATACTCTTAACTCTCTTTTTTTTTTTGTCCTCTGTTCCTACTAAAATATTTTCTTTTAAATTTTCAATTAATTATTCTGATTTTTCTACTATTTATTTAGAGATAATTTATGTAATACTTTTCTCTTTAAATATATTTTTTTTCATTTAGAGACTTATTATATCAAATAAAATAAAATATTTAAACAGGATCATATACAAACTTTTACCTTAAATTTTGAGTCGGATAAAATATTTCTAAACTCAAATCAAATAAGAGGTATAATACTCGATTCAAAATCAAATCGATTAAAAACTCTACCCGACTTATTACCCTACCAAGTACTAGTGCATGTGTTAATCTTAAGTTTTGACTAATGTCCAATAATATGACTTGTATCCTTCACGTTTGTGTTCTCAAAATTACTCGACTTGTAGTTAAATATTCCAACTATTTTTTAATTTTATTTTATTTTTAAATCTAATATATTAGAATATTACGCATTCACTAGTTACAATAATCAATAAAAATTTCTTATTCGAACAAATACAAATAAATAAACTTTATTTACTTAAAATTCATTGGCTTGCCATTCTATAAACCGATGAGGGCAAGTGAGAATTTTTCTTCCGTCTATAACAATCACTAAAACAAATAAGGGTAAACTACACTTTAGTAGCTAAACTATTACTTTTATTCCATTTTGATACACTAACTTTATTTTATTTCAAAATCATACATAATGTTTAGTTTATGTTTTATTTTGATACCCCCACGGTTAAAAATTAACAATGATGTTGAGGTATTACTATAAAGTAATATCATGTCATCATTGAAAAAAATAATAATAATAATAATAAATATCACATCAATAGTTTTGTTAATTTTTTTAACTGCAGGGTACCAAATTAAACCAAAACTAAATATTAGGTATGATTTAAAAAAAATAAAGTTTGGATACCAAAATGGTACAAAAGTAATAGTTTAGATACTAAATATGTAATTTATCCAAAATTAATTAATAAAAAGAAAATAACAAATAAATAAAAACACATAATCATATTAGCAAAAGCAATTAAGTTAGAAGATAATTTGACAAAACAAAAATACCAAATAAGGCTTCTGGTTGGCAATGTTGTACTTTATATTTGGTATTTTTAAGTCATCATATAAGGGTTTTGAAGTATGATTTAAGTAAGGAATGGTGACAAGTTGAGCTAACAAAATGCAGATTTTCTCACCAAACACTTTTGGAAATCCCATTGTTTTCCCCTTCCCAATACCTATAAAAGGCTGATTAGCTCATGCAATTTCATAAATAAAATTTTAGGATAGACATAATTAATAAAATAAGTAATTAATGGTCGAATTTTAAGGTGGATATTTGATCACTCTAATTTAGAAGTGGATTTTCTATTGAAAATAGACAAAATCGTTGTTTAAGATGTAACATATAGTTAAGGATGACAGTTTTAATCGAACATGATAAGTTTGGAGATTGGGTCGGGTTGATTTTATAAAGTATGAGGTCGAGATAGATTTAGGGTGAAAAATATTCATCTTGATCCGACGTGAGATAATAGTATAATTTTCCTCTATATATTTAAGGTTGGATATAGAGCACAATTATACTATTATACTACGAGTTTTAGTTAATGTTGAAGAATCGGGCAAAGATAACGAAAGAACACAATAATTTTTAACGAGGTTTAGCAATGTGCTTACGTCATCGGTGCCTAGGCGGCGCTAGAAGTTTTATTCAATATCACATAGGTTTAGGTTACATCTCTATTTATAATAAAAAAAACATGGTACATAATTACATAATTAACCTTGTACCGTACCGCGGCGGCTACGCCCCCGTACCCCCAACCCACATAATCGTAACCCCCTCTACGAAACTTTCTTTGTAAGGACAGTTGATGTTCGCTCACTCCGCTCCATCTCCTGTCATCTTTACTAGTATATTTATGAGACATACATATCTGTTAACATTTACATTGACCGAGAGTTTTAGTTTTCCTCGTACTTCCTATCATAAATCTAACTTGAAATTGTTTTATATTTAGATTGATTGTGTGTTTTTATCTTAAATCTCAAGTCAGATTTATAGTCGAATAAAACTGGTCTAAGCCCGAATCAGATAAAAGATATAATATTTAAATTAAATTTGGATTAACCAAAATATTAATTCGACTCGACCTATTATCATCTCTAATACTAGTTCATTTGTTCAGAACTTGTGACTAATGCCCAATAATCTTAACGTTGTTTCTCACGTTCAAATGTGTTTTCAATATGATTCGGCTTTTAGTTAAACATTGGTACCATTTTTTATTTTGTATTTTATTTTTTTAATGTATTAGGATATTATACATTCCATCTTTATAATGAATTTACAAATCAATAAAGTATTTTTATTAAAAAAAATATAAAAAGAAAATAACAAATAAATGAAAACACGAATCATTGTTGAAAAAGCAAGTTGGAAGATAGTTCAACGAACAAAAAATACCAAAAAAGGCTTCTGGTTGGCAATGTTGTACTTTATAATTGGTACTTTTAAGTAATTTATGTGTCATCATATTAGGGTTTGATTAAGTAAGGAATGGGTGAGAAGTTGAGCTAACAAAATGCAGATTTTCTCAGCAAACCCTTTGAAAATCTCATTGTTTTCCACTTCCCAATACCTATAAAAGGCTCATTATCTCACGCAATTGCATAAACAACCAATACTCTAAAGCATTTCTTATTGTTATCTCGCATCTGATTGCCCTCAACCATGGCTTGCCATCGTTTCTCTTTCTTTGCATTACTCCTCACTTTGTCGTTGATGAGTAGCGACACCATCTCGGTTGGTGCCCGGCGTCTCCTAGAAGTGTATGTGCCTGAAAAATCCGAGCTTCCTAAAACTGAGTTACCGCAGATACCATCCTTACCAAAGGTTGAACTCCCGAAACCTGGATTACCAGAAATTCCGAAGCCTAAAATACCAAAAATGCCTGAGGTACCTGAGCCTGAATTGCCTAAAGTTCCAGAGTTACCAAAGCCTGAATTACCTAAGGTTCCAAAGTTTCCAACAATGCCAGAGTTGTCAAAGCCTAAACTTCCTAAGGTTCCTGAGTTGTCAAAGCCTGAATTACCTAAGGTTCCTGAGTTTCCAAAAGTGCCAGAGTTGCCGAAGCCTGAACTTCCAAAGGTTCCTGAGTTGATTAAGTTGCAGAAATCTGAAGAAGTCGAAATTTCAGAGTTACCGAAGTCAGAATTGCCTAAAGCTCCTGAGCTACCAAAAGTTCCTGAATTAACGAAGCTAGAATTACCTAAAGTTCCTGAGGTGACCAAAGCTCCTGAAATACCAACTATTCCCGAGTTACCAAAACCAAAATTACCTAAAATTCCTGAATTACCAAAACCAGAATTACCTAAAATTCCTGATTTACCAAAACCAGAATTACCAAAAGTTCTTGAGTTACCAAAGCCAGAATTACCTAAAATTCCCGAGTTACCAAAACCAGAATTACCTAAAGTTCCTGAATTACCAAAACCAGAATTACCTAAAATTCTCGAGATACCAAAACCAAAATTACCCAAAACTCCTGAGTTACCAAAACCTGAATCAACGGAGGTTCCAAAACTATCCAAACCGTAATTACCCAAATTATTAAATTACTGAAACCCCAAAGTCATGGCAATGCCTTTTTTTTCTTCAACATTAAACATATGGTTTATAGGTATTCTTCTTATAAAAGAATGTTTGATTATTATACTTGAGTTCATTTCATTAGTCAGGTGTTGTCGTCCATGTATTATCATGTATACTTTCTAAATAAATTTATAGTTTTATTTATGTTCTATTCTGTCCAATTTGAGAGTCTTGTGGATATTGGGAAATCATCTAAAAGAATTTACGGATTTCATAAGATAAGAAAGACAGTAATGAAGTTGGCCTCACCCAACTAACATCACTTATAAAAAAAGGGGAAACATTTACATTAGAAAGTAAAGGAATATTTTTTGTTTTAATCCCTCTACTATACTAAAATTTGAGATTTAACTCTTTTTATTTTAATTTGACACATGCTTTTTATCAAGGTAACGATTTTTTGGCATCATCAATGTGATTTAACCTTCTCCGCATGTAATCTATTCTCAAATTTGACTTTAACTCTTGTTTTAAAAGTGGACCTCTAAAATTATCTTTTTCCAAAGGAATCTTCAAATTTCTTTTAAAATTGTGATTTTATGATTTTATGGGTATTTAAAATCTAAAATGATTGATGATGAATTTAATTTTAAAAAATGAGCACGATTTTTAATAATAAATATTTTTGAACCTAAAAAATGATTTTTACAAGGACCATGGTTGAGGGGTGAGATGGGAATGTTAAAAAGTTTAGGAATCAATTTATAATGTGAGTTATAATTTAGAGACATATAGTGTAATTAACTCAATTTAATTTATATTTTTTCGAATGGAGTTAAATGAATGAAGTTCGAATAAAACAATTGTTCAAGATAATTTAAAAAGAAATATTAAATTTAAATCTTGTTTAACATATTTGTAACTTTTTTTAAAATAAAATAAGATACTTTAGATTTAATAATTTTTTAAAGCCTCGTATCTTTCATTGTACAATTAAACGAATACAATATTATATTCATACTTATTTTATTACTTTCTAATAAATATCAACATTAATTTTCACTTTAAAATACGAATTAAATAATCTCAATAATTAAAAAAATAATTGTTATTTATAGAAATTTTAGATTTGAGCAGTTCACTTATGAAAATATTAAATATTAATTATCAAATAATTAAATATTTACCAAGAAGAATTTATTTAAATGATAAACAATTTGATATCTCTTAAATAATGTCTCGAGTTTGAGTCTTTGTATATACATAAAATCTCAGCCGAGAGACTCACATATCAAAACCATGTGTGCAATATCGCTTAGTCCGTATTAATCAAAGCCAAAGCCTTAGAAGTTAGAACTAAGATAGCAACAAATATATATATATATATATATATATATTTCAAACATATAATATTTTATAATTACTCTAAATTAATTATAAAAACAAAACAGCTTTAAAATTATTTTGGACAGCGACCGTTGACTTTCTATACACGCATTTCACAAAGTCTGTGGCTATAAATATTGTGGGTCACAAGTCGCAAAATAGTTCCCCACCTGTGGTTTCCTTGAACTTTCACCTCTTTTACAATTAAATCACTCCCATGTGTTTCTCTATTAGATTAATTCGATTCGAATAGTTATATTTGTAAGAATTTATATATGTTATCAATTGATTAAATTTTTTTATACAGATATAATCTTATAATTACTTCAGATTATTTAAAAAAATTAAATCAATTCAATCAAAAATATATGGTTATAAAAAATATTAAAATAAATTTTAATAATTTTTTTAAAGAATTATTACGTAAAATAAAGAGCCATTGTATATAAAAATAAATGATAAGATCACAATATCAAAAAGGTTCTTATTGGATCTTCTCTTATCGTGAATATCTTGAAATTTTAAAAATATTATAAACAAAAAATATAATTTTTTTAAAATTAATTAAAATTACTATAACTTTTAAATTTTTTATTTGATTTCCATCAAAACTATCAATAATAATAATAAATTTTATCATATGATTAATTATAACGGTTATAAATAAAATTTATTATTTTATAATTGATACCTATATTGAATTAGGGTAAACTACTTCAAATATCACTCACCTTTAGGCTCGGATTTGTTTATGTCATCAACGTTTTAATTCTGTCAATTTTAATACTAATATTTAAGTTTAACTGCAATTATGTCACTCCGCCGTTAATGGCTTAGCGGCACGATGACATAGTATCTCTGCGCCGTGACGTTGTTGACGTGGCTCCCTCACCAAAACGACGTCGTTTTGGCATGACTGTGTTTGATGCTAAAAAACTTAAAACGACATAATTTTATTTGAAAAAATTTAGTAAATAATGACATTTGAAGGAATTTGAACCCAAGACCTTTTTGAAACAAAAATCACTATGTCAAACTTAAATTTTTGTAATAATCCCACAAATACAATATACATAACATGAGTCATCATTCCAAATGTCAGTTTCTAAAAAAAACCCATGAAATTATTAAAATTTCCAAAAACACCTTAAATTACAGAAAATCTCAAAAAATTCCTAAATTCCTAAAAATAAAAAAAAATAAACTCTAAATCGTAAACCCTAAAAATCATAAGATTCATTTTAGAATGAATTTAGAGATTATCAAAAAAATTATAAACTCTAAATAATAATCCCTATAAATCATAAAAATCATAAGATTTGTTTTTTAGAATGAATTTAGGGTTTACTAAAAAATCATAAACTCCCTAAAAATGAATCTTATGATTATAATTTAGAGTTTATGATTTTTTTGAGATTTTTAGGAATTTAGGAGTTTTTTGAGATTTTTTGGAGTTTAAGGTGTTTTTTTGGGAATTTTAATAATTTTATAACAAAAGCTTTAACCTTTGATCCAAAAGGTTTAGGGTTCAAATGAGATGCATTATTTATTAAATTTTCTCAAAAAAAAATTATGTTGTTTTGGATTTTTTTAACACCAATCACAATCATGTCAAAATGACGTTGTTTTGGTGAGGGAGCCACGTCAGTAATGTCACGTCATGGAAAAATCATGTCATTGTGTTGTTAAGTCATTAACGACTGATTGACATAATTATAGTTAAACTTAAACGTTAGAATTAAATTTAGTAAAATTAAAACGTTATTGGCATAAACGAACCTGAACCTAAAAGTAAGTGATATTTATAGTAGTTTACACTTGAATTTAATAGCCGTAGTATCAAGGATAAGTACATAAACCTCAAAGCATAGAGAGAAGAATTTTCTTGTGATCTTTTTCCCTCTCGGATTCTTTTGTGTATTATTTTATGTATTCAATACACTATAGAATAATTGATCAAGTATCTTCGTCGTCTAAATAAAAAAAGATAAACCGTATACGAACGACGTATCACATATTGTTCCTGTAATAACTCTCTAATTAAGAGAAGGATCCATTCAACCATTTCAGCATAGATTTAACATATTGGCTACGGAAACAGTAGAAATGAAAATCATTGGTTTCTGCAAAAGAAAGAATTCAGAGCATTTTTTGGGGGGGAACTATTGCATGCTTCTTTCTCAAAGAGACAGGCTCATTCCATTGATGAAGTTGAAAGTATGACATCTTAATTTATAAAGGATCCTTGTTTATTACTTATTGCAATGATTTTTTTCTACTTTAAGGCTAAAAAAAGCTTGAAAATCCCTCATAATTGTAGAGAGTTGGCTACACATCTTAGTTTCCAGATGTCTCACCTGAAAGTAGACGCCGGCCATCGACCGACTAACCGTTCAAAAGCTTCTCGTCGCCGGATTCCGATTCCGGTTCTTGTTGGAGATAGGCAATGAGAATTTCCCATTGCAAGAAAATGATCTCTTCATGAAAATTGGCCTAATTTGCAAAGATCGACCGATGGACATTAGTCTCAACAAGCTCTGATGATTCCCGGCTACTCTCCTCGGTACAATTCTCGAGATCGATTCTTTCGATTTCGCCGGTTCGTTATCTGAATTGCTTCCGTCGGCAATGGCCTGACTGATCCGAGAAGCTGCCATGGAATCCAATGAAACTGATCTTCTTACAGGTTGAAGTTGAACAACCCCTGAATTTACTTCATTTTCAACAGCTGATTCATCTTCACGGCTTGTTCCACTTCCACCTTCGGATTCTCCATCGTCTTCGATAATCGGAACTCGCGTTTCCTCGGAAACTTCGGGTCCAATGCTTGAAGACGACGGTCCGTTGTTAGCGGAAACAATGGGTGCACGGCACATGGGACAATTGGTGTGCGATCTAAGCCAAGTATCGATACAAGGGATGTGAAAAGCATGGCTACACTTGGGCAACAACCTCAAGGTTTCGTCTTCTTCGAATTCCGTCAAGCAAACGGAGCACTCGGTTCCTTCGATAACACCATCGCCTTTCTTGTATTTGAAAACTTTGATCGAGTTGATGATCGACGGTTGTAAACCGACCGTGTTGATGTACCATATGTGATGATCGAGTACCGGACCGTGATCTTCATCGAGGAACTCATCGTGGGTTTCAGTCGTTTCACGCCGTGAATCCGATCTTCCGGTGACACCTAACCGCCGTCTGTGACGCCTGATAATGTAAACATAAAGGCATACGATCAAAAACGAAAAGGAGAGAACTGTGAGCGTTGCGATCAAATACTTGGTGGGGAACTTTGAGTGATGGCTTGGAGGAGGAGGAGGAGGAGGGAAGACGAGATCATCTTTTTCATGATCACAGTGCTCAGAACATAATTTAAAACACTTCAACGTTGATGAAGAAGATGAAGTACAGATCTGGTAGCAATTAAGATCATCACAGTCTTCTGATAAGGTTTTTCTGAGTTCAAAACCCATTTCTTGGGGGGAATCAAAGATTAAGCATTAAAGCAAAGAGAAAGAGGAGAAAGGGAAAGGAAAACTCAGTGAAGAATGATTCAAAGGGGTGAAGTTGAAGGGAATTGAAGGAAGAGTTTGAACGAAAAAGATAAGTATGACTTTTGCTTTACTGCTTTTGATACTTTCCGCGTTTATCCTCGACTTTCTTGGCATGTCGGCTTATACAATAGTTGACGCGGAAACAGAGTTAAAATCACACAATTCTTTCCAAAAATAAAATTGTTAATCGATTTGTACGTCCCTAAACCAGGAGTCTTATTTTAAATAAATTATTGAAGTTTTAAATATTTTAATTTTAAAAATTTAACTTCTATTTAAATTAATCTTTTGAAATTTTAATTTCATTCTCCAATTATGACACTAATTCTAAATAGTCATCGAAGTTTTAAATCTTTTAGTTTCATCTCCAAATACATCCAAATATATAATTAGTTTCAACCATAGTTTAGTCTAAATTTTATTTGTTTCAAACATATAATAATATAGTTTGGCCTAACGCTTTTATTAACTATGATTTGAGATGAAATTAAAATGTTTAAAAGTTTGGGGACTAATCTAGAATGAAGATCATAGTTTAGAGATAAAATTGAAATGCTTAAAGTTTAAGGATTAATTTTGGATGAGAGTCATAGTTTGGAAACAAAATTAAAATATTCAAAAGTTTATAGATCAAATTAGAATGAGGATCATAATTTGAGGTCTATAATGTAATTTACCCGCAATAAAAGAAAAGATATAATGAGCTCAAATCCTTTTCGTGGTAAAGCTAGATCCAACATTGCAAGGAATGAACAACATGCATTTACAATTTGGTGTATTGGTTGAACATTATTTGAAGTACATAACGTTGAAGAATCAACCTGTGGTTTTGTGGCTTATCCTTTGCAAGGACTCTGTCAGAGGCTTATCCTTGCTTTTGTGGTGCAAACCCAAAGCTCAGCAATTGCCAAAATATCTGAAAATGAACATCATCCTCGTCCCCACGAAATTGGCAATAAATCAATCCCATAAGAAATTGTGATGCTAAGAAGTTGCTTAGAGGAGTTGATATCTGTAATGGACATAGGGATATCGGGACGGTCGCGTATTAAAAAAAAAAATTAAATTCTCATAATTTAAATATTTTTTTATATTTTCTATTAATAGTCTAATTCCGTATCTCATGAATTTTTATTAATTCACATTCCCTAAAATTTTTATATAAATTCCTAAAATTTTATATCTTCACACAAAATCCTTGGTCCGTCCTAAAAAAAGTGCAGGAGAAGCATATAAAGTAATAGCCTTTTATGCATGCTAATAGATAATGGGAAAAAGAATGTCACTAATGACAATGTTTTGCTTGAACTTGCCAAATTATGAGGGGGGGACGGATTTTGAAATGGATTAAGGATCAATTGTGTTATACCTCCTGAGAAGATCCTTCGTAAATTATAAAAATTCCATTAATAAAGACCTCCGGAGGACCACACCCTCGGAACGAAGCCTCCAGAATACCTCTCGAGACACATTCTTCAGAACCACCTTCCGCAGGATCGCTCTCCAGAGTTCATACTACTCGGTTTTTATCAAGACCTTCGACAATCAAATCTGATAATTGATAGTCATATTTGCACAACCTGCCAGCCGATAAGCAGACATGACGACTCTAGGCATAGACTGATCGGGATATTTATAGGAAGGACTGAGGGAGCTGGAACTCTCTTTCTCCCAGACACAATGCATGAAGCGATAAAATACCGAAGCTATATAAATATGAATCTGATAATTCGAAGAAAACGTCTTAAAAAATTAAGCTTAGGAAATATCTCAATATTCAACTCCGTTATTGTCGAGAAAACAATTAATAAAAAGAGTGCACATAGCCTCACTGCAATCAGAAAGCTTCAAGTCAAATTCGCTCCAGCGAAATGCTAAGGAATTGATAAATCCAGGCATGATCAACTAAAAACAAGTAACTGGAGATAGTAGGACCAACCAACTTCTCCATACAAAAACAAGAAGAGAAGCAAAATACTACCACAAAGATTTGGAACTTCACGGTTGTTTCTCATCTTCACGTTTGGAAGCTTCTTTGATCTCATCAGTTCCATCATCCTAAATGGATTAATATATACATGGTTAATTTAAGAAAAAGAAAACAATATAAAAAAGGTACCTAGATGGCTAAATACGGAGGCAGGAAAGAAAAAAATATATGTGGGGTGTAACCTGCATATCCGAGGTCCACAAAGTGAGGTTATCACGGAGAAGTTGCATTATCAAAGTGCTGTCCTTGTATGAATCCTCTCCAAGAGTATCGAGCTCAGCAATGGCTTCATCAAAAGCCTGAGGAAAGAATCAAAACATGGTTTGACTTAAAGTCTTAAACAGAATACGAAAATGAGGTAAATGAATCCCAAATGAAGAGCGAAAAAGGATTTGCAATGTAAAAGAATTTATTTGCACTGTCTTTGATGAACAACATGAAATTTTAGACTAGACTATAATTTTTGAAGAATTGTGATTCTACCTGTTTGGCAAGACTGCAAGCACGATCCGGAGAATTCAGGATCTCATAGTAGAAGACAGAAAAGTTTAGAGCCAATCCTAAACGGATAGGATGAGTCGGGGCTAGCTCAGTATTTGCAATGTCCTGAAAAGAAAGCAGCACAAAAAGATGCAGATATGATCGATAAAGGGTTGGAACCATGTACGAAATACAAGTTGTAATCACCTTACCAAATTCAAAATCGGAGGTAAATATCAGAATCTTCTGTTTAAATGTAAAAGTGATAATAATAATAATATTATGAACAGCAGACTGGAAATGCTCTATAATCCACAGTAACTAACATTACACTATAAAATGAATTAATACCAAGGAACTTCGAATTAGAAGTAGGGGAGAAGGTGAAGAAGACGAGGGGAGTGATTCTGGTTCATGAATAAACACATTTCATTGGTCTCAACAAGATATTCAGCTGTGAACTTAAATCAGACAAAATAAAGATGCAAGTTGTATCTATAAAATACAAAAAGCTAATTTATGAATTGAGATCATTTTCTTTGATAATTTTCATAAAATTTCTATTGCAATTCGCTGTAATGTCTTCTAACGATTATGTTTCCAAGTCAAGCTTCGCAACTGAAAGAATATCGGGATCTTAGTGATAAGAAAAAAACAACACATAAAACCAGATTCAATCAAACTGAACACATAATTTACATCTAAACTTAACCAAACCCTAATAATACACATCAATACAAGCAAATCCACATGATCGAAAGAGAAATTACAGAAATGCCTGCAAACCTGAGCAGATTTATACGCAGTCAAGGTGTTCTCGGCAGCAGCTTTCCTTTCATCGCCAGTCTTGAACTCAGCCAAGTACCTATGGTAATCACCCTTCATTTTCAGGTAAAACACCTTGGAATCGCCGGTTCCAGCAGCCGGAACAAGCTTCTCGTCGAGGAGCTTCAGAATTCCGGCGCAAATCTCGGACAACTCGGCCTCGATCTTGGCCCTGTAGTCGCGGATGACGGAAACGTGGTCGTTGTTGCCGCGCCCTTCCTCCTTCTGCTCGATGGAGGAGACGATCCGCCAAGAGGCACGGCGGGCGCCGATGACGTTCTTGTAGGCGACAGAGAGTAAGTTGCGCTCCTCGACGGTGAGTTCGTCGGGTGGAGGGACGGCGGAAACGACGTTTTCCATGAACTTGACCATCTCCTCGTAACGCTCGGCTTGCTCGGCGAGCTTAGCCATGTAGACGTTCTCCTCGCGCGGGGAAGCAGCGGCCATGATTAATGGTTTTGGGCGGTGGTTTACGAAAGGAGGAGGATTTCTTTTCGGCGGATTTGAGATTTGACGAAATAGAGAAAATGAACATTTACTCACATTGTCATTGTCGTTTTCTTTAAACGGAGGAGCCAGCTATGCCGGGCCAGCCAGCCAGCCAAACGGATTCTCTTTTTTTCCTTTTCCTCTTTTGACCTTGTTTTTCTTCTTTAATTTCTGGTAATAGTTTCGTAAACTGCAAGTTTAATGCCTAAACTGTTATTTTTATTCTATTTTGGTACCTAAATTTTATTTTTCTTCAGAAACATACCTAACATTTAGTTTAAGTTTCAATTTGATACCTATTGTTAAAAATTTAATGACAGTGATCACATGAAATTTACATTATAAGACACGTGGAATATGAAAAAGTGAAAATAATTCCATGTCATCGATGCCCACGTGATCTATAAGAGTCGAATATATTATCATACGATTATATCCATTGATCCAACTTACGACGATGATGCTTCTACTACTTATCTCCCTACTTGGAAATAGAGAACACAGCTCACTATCACTTATTAGTCGACTGAAAACTATCAATTAATGAGAGTAAATTTATCAATTGTTACTATTCATCTAAATCAAAAAAATCAATATAACCATCATTATCTATATATATATATATATATATATATATATATATATATATATATATATATATATATGATAAAAATATAAAAGCATTTAAAACAGATGAAAATATATATAAAATGAATTATTAACAAGTAAAAATATAATTATAATATTTTTAATCCTCACCAAATAATACAAACATAAACATGAGATAAAAATAAAACGAATATGATATGAATATGTGAACAAAAATTGACACTACTACAATAACAATAAATTTCTCATACATAATTAAGAATTTAACTCGATGTTCAATAAACAATGAAGAGCCCCCACAATCCATGCCCGAATAAAAGTAAGGAAGCCCCCACAAAATTCCGCCCAGCACCAGAGAAAAAAAGACCACCTATCATCTAGATCCACCGTATACAATTGACCAGGCACACCGGTCACATAATAGAATCTTGACGGCGGCAGCGGCGGTGATGGAAGTGAAGTGTAGTAGGTGAACATTGGAGGAGGAGGAGGTGAAAGTAAATCGTAGTAAGTGAACCTTGAAGGTGATGGTGATGGTAGAGGAGGTGGTAGAAGTGATTGTTGGCCTCATGGATTCACACAAGGACAAACTCCACACTTGATTTCAGTAGCCGGTGGTTGGGGCACGACGACCGGTGTCGTTTCTTCTAACATTTTGGTAGAGGCGTTGATTGGAACAACAAGGAGAGTCGAAAGAAGTGGAAAGATTATAACAATTGATTGAAGATTCTTTTGACGTACCATATTATGTTGCCGAGAGAAAAGATAAAAATTGGTGGAAAAATCAATGATATGTATAAAAAATATTAATTTTTTTAAGTTAACGTATATTATGTGTCACATGACCATTGTGAATTTTTGTGATAAAAAATTGAATTGAGATGATGTGTATAAAAGTTGAAAAGTTTAGAGGTTGTGATAAATCTAAAAATATTTTTTAATGTAGACATGCATATATTAATAACATAAAATTTTTGTATGGGATTGACATAAGTGTAAGTATAATCAATAAAATGAATAATTATAATAATATAAAATCAAATTTCAATGCAAACATTACTTACCTTGATACAAACGTGGATCCGCCAATGTTTATAAGTCAAACAAGATCAAAGAAATTCTATAAAAAAAATAAAAGAGAATAAAAGATGTAATCTGTATCCTAAAGAAGAGAGAGAACAAAATAGTATGACTCCTAAGATTATGAGCATCTCACGTTTATCATATTTGCAGGGATTAACCGACGGATGTCTAGAGTAGTTATAATCTTTTAAAAGTTTAAATTATTACATAGTTTGAATTTATATATATATATATATATCTGTTGATGATTTAGTTTCGTATTCTTAATATTGTATAATTTCGTACTCTTACATTTTTAATATGACTTTATAAAAGTTCACATTTTCTGACATAAAATCATATGTCAGTGTCTATATATACGTATATATACATATATAGCAACAAAAATGGAGGAAAGAAGATCCATATCAGATACTTTTCTTGATGGTTTCTTCCTTTGCAACGTTGTTATTCTCTCTTTATTGCTGCATTTGATTTCTTCTTTCTTGCTCTATGATGTCTTCAGAACCTACTTGCATGGCCTTCAATGCATGGTTATCTAATTGTAGATTATTTATTTATTTTCAGGAATGCTGAGAAAAGTGGGTGAGAATCAAACCTAAAGATTATGAAATCTCATTGTTTCAATGGGTTTGCTATGGGGTACGAAAGGAAATGGCATGTGGATGTCTTAAATGTCAAATGACCCTACACCCAACCCTATTCTTTTAATTTTTGATCAGTTAAATACATTGAGTGACTTTAATGTCATAAAAAAATATTACTCTCTCTAAAGGATTTGGGGTTGAGCAATTATATCTATAGAGTGTGTATAAATTGTCAATTGATTAAGAAAAATTCGGACAGATACTATCATATAACCACCCCAAACTATTAAAAAAAGTTCCAATCGATTTAAACTAAAATAAAAATAGATTTTTATCCTCTATTTAATATCGATCAATACTTAACGAATCTTTAACGTTATAAACTTAAATAATGTATTTATTTCAATAAATAATGTATTTATTTCAATATTTGATTCTAGTTTCGTTCCTCATAGTTTTTGGTTTTATGGGTAGCTGAAAATGTTTAATATGGTGACGGAGACTTGTTTGAAGGTCTGTGTTGCTGCTTTAATGGCGATGGGTTGATTTGGTTGATGGTTTTAGGGTCTCAAAGACTTTGTCGTGAACCCTACTTGCTTTAAATTATGAGTATGGTCCAACTCAGCCTGATAGACACTACGGCTTGGAGGGTTGGGCCCGTGTGTGGTTTGAATTATTTTAATTTGGTAAATCGATTATTATTTAAATTTATTTATTTATTAATGTTGATCGAGTATTACATAGATTCAATCTAAAAATAATTCTCTTAAGTCAGTTTACATTCGTATGAGATCAAATTATTGAAATATTATCGATAATAACAAATCAGAGTCGAGCGTTATGAGAAAACTAACTCAAAACATAAATTACATATCTAAATCTAATTCGAGGGCCAAAGCAGGGAATAACAACAAGATAACAAATAAACACCATTTTAATCAGTTGAAACGATATCAAATTCAACCATGAGGAAATTAAACAAAAAAAAGGGCCAAAACAATAGATAAATAATATTGAAAGCGTGCCAAAAGACAAGAAAATGTACTATGAAACATAATTATTAAAATCTAAAATTAAAAGAAAAACAAATGTGTAATATATAAAAGTAAAAGAAAAAAATAAAGAATATTAATGGTCGATCATCAACATTAAAATTAAGGTCAGAGGGGTAATGGCTCCCAAACTTTTATGGTCTAATTACCTCTTGAGCCATTGTTGGTTTTGAAGTCATTGCACATTCGAAATTTTTTTGGTATAATTATTTTTTAGGACACTGTCAATTTTAAAATTAATGGAATTAAGACTTAATTTCAAAATTACATTTTAATACCTTTAAAATTTAAAATAATTAAATTAAATCTTTAATCTCTTAATTTTTATGGTTTAATTACATTTTAGAATTGTTTTTTAAATTAAATAATTTATTCCCTCATAATTCAATCTCGACTTCATCCCTCGCTATATGCGGATAAAAAAAAGCGAAAATCTATATGATATATCCACTGATAGTGGGAGCAATGGCACACGAAAAACCTTTTTATTAAGTTCGTTTAAAAAAACATAATTTTTAATTGTAGAAAATATTGAATAATAATAAATCTCAAATCATTACGTACACGTAAATTGAGTGGAAACTGGCACTTGACGTTTAACTCTTTGTATTCATGCAAGCTTTCTTATGTTGAGACCCCCAAATAAAACCTAAAGGGTTTCTATCAATTGCATGCTCGTGATAGTTTACCATAAAAAATATATAGTAATTGAAAGTTATTATATTTTTAAAAAATATGAATGCAATAAAAAAAAGTCTAATGAAATTCCATCATTATAAGTCCTTGCTTGATCCATTTGATCACGACTGTAATATTTTTTATTCGATTCATATCTATGATCTAATCAGAGATATCACAATCGATATCATAAAATGGTTGTCCATGTTTCCATATGTAATGGGGTTAGGGGAGGTAAGATAGTAGGTTGCCCCCAACATTAGGTTGGGAGCAGCTTCCGTAGGAGACCTCCAAATTATGAAATACCCTCCATGGGACTTGATCCCACGACCTCAAGGTTAAGAACCTTGTGCTCTACAAACTGAGCTGGATGGTCATTTCCACAATCGATATCATAATTAATCAAAATTAAATTTAAAAGAAATCATATTAATTTAAACTTATCTTTAAGGATCATGTTCCAAATAATTTAAAACTCTGATCAAATAATTATATAATCTTTAATATTAGAGATTATAAAACTATGAAGTTTTAATTTTTACGGGCAATTATGTTAATTTTCCATTAAACATGATGAGAAAGTAGACCTTATTCGATTACAATTATACACACGAAATTAAAATAATAAAAAAAAGAAATCAAGGGAGGGAAAAGAGCTTGCGAGAAGTGGTGCACCACCGAGCGTACGACGGACGCAGGTCGGGCCAATTAGAGAAGGGGCAATACGTGAAATGGTGAAGCCAAAGCGAAAGCACTCTCTCTTGTTCCTCTCCTTCCAGCATCTCGATGGCGTCTTCCAATACTTTCTCGAGCTCGGCTCTTTCGCATATGCTCAACACCGGCACGTCATTGCCGTTGCTCGCTCGGCACAACAACGGCAGCCACGATGTTATCATCTTAGTTTGCTTCGCCTTCTCTTTGTTGTTGTTGGTGTTGCCTTCTTCACTCTCTTCTTCAATTATCATGTTCTTCACTTGCATGAATAAAAATGCTGCATGTTTTTGCTTTAATTAGGTAAGTAAATTATCGTTTTTCTTAAATAAATCTGAATTTCATGAATTATAAATGGTCTAATTATACTTTCCAACCTTTAATTACTTTTAAAATTTTGATAATTTAATCTATCGAGAGATGGATCGAGGGAGGTGCAATTCTGGTATAATTTATATATTTTCTTTTTATTTTATATTAATGATCTAATTTGATTCCTTAAAAATTATATACTTCTTAAATTTTTAATATAACTTCTTAAATATTCACACCCTTAACATAACATTCTACACCGGTCCTTGGATCTAGACATTTTAATTTATCAGAATTTGCTCATTATGTATTACAAAAACTGAAAAGCCAATCTACTTGTTGGTAAATACATAAACTCGAATTGCTTATATTTAATTTGTTTCGTATAAATTATATTGATTTTTTTGTTATATTCTTTGATATTCAATTTATTGATCGATTAATTTAGATCAGATATTATAAAGGTCCATTATGAGGATAACTTTCATAATTCAATTTACTCAATTCACAACACCATGATTCAAACTCCTGACCTTACTCCTTATGTAAAATGGTGAAGCAAGTGCTCTTGCTCCTTATGTCCTAGCATTTCAATGGTCTATTCTGATATCTTCTCTAGCGGTATTCTTTAGCTTACACTCGGCACTGGCATGTCGGTGCCGTTGCTAGCTTTGCATAACAATGGCAGCCATAATGTTAGCATCTTCATCTTCGTTTCTGTTGAAAGTAAAAGTCAGAAAGTGGGGACATTGTTTTTCAACAAAGGCAGCAGAACGGATTTTCAACAAAGGGGGCAGGGGCTGAAGTTTTTCAACAATTGTAAAGTCAACAATGGTGGGAGGGGGGCATCGCCTATGCACATTTTCAACAAAAATTCGGTGTCCCAATTTTTTAATTAAAATATAATAGGGGTAATTACAAGATTAGCCCTTAAGCTTCAACTATAAATACTCTAGCCCATTTAGCTTCAAAATCAACCCAAAATCATTTTTTTCTCCCAATACTAGAGAGATTTCTTGTGAGTAGTGAGTGTTTTGTAAACACCTGTAAATTTTCTCTCTTAGTAAAAGATCTGCAGCAGTCCGGAGAAGTAAGCAAAATTGGCTTAACTCCGTTATCAATTTTGGGTATTATTTTTCCGCTTTTATTTCGCATTCTCACTAATCTGGTTATAGGGAAATTACTCGTTCTCGTTTATTTCCCAACAACTGGTAATCAGAGCTTTTGGTTATGAATTTTGTCAATTTTTTGCGAGGTTACTATTCATGTGAATAGTAAATTTTGTGAGTAGTAAAATTTTTTCGGCGATACGAATTTGTCGATGGAGGTATTTTAATACACGGTGGTTCGCAAGAATTTTCAGAAACGATCCAGACGAAGCCATATTCGAGTGAGAGCGACGGCTGCAGACGAAGGGAATATGAAAATTGAAAAGTTTGATGGTGCGGACTTTGGGTTTTGGAACATGCAGATTGAAGATTTTCTGTACCAGAAAAATCTATATCAACCTCTCTTAGGAAAACAATCAGAGGGCATGAAGAATGAAGATCGAGCTCTTCTCGACAGACAAGCCCTCGGAGTTATCCGACTGACGTTATCCCGCAATGTTGCTTTCAACATAGCAAAGGAAAAGACCACGGCGGGTCTTATGGTGGCTCTCTCCAGTATGTATGAGAAGTCATCGGTCTCAAACAAAGTTCACTTGATGAGGCGATTATTTAATTTGCGGATGGAGGAAGGGGCACCAGTGGCACAACACCTAAATGAACTCAACACAATCACAACTCAGTTGAGTTCAGTGGAAATTGAATTCGATGATGAAGTTCGAGCTTTAATTTTCTTATCATCTCTACCAGACAGTTGGAATGTTACTGTTAAAGCAGTCAGCAACTCGTCGGGAAACAGCAAATTAAAATTCGACGATGTTCGGGATCTGGTATTGAGTGAAGAAATTCAACGAAGAGAATCAGGTAAAGCATCAACCTCCTCAGCCTTGCACACGGAGTCTAGAGAGAGAACTTCAAAAAAAATTCAAATCGTGGCAGATCGAAATCCAGACGGGGAAAATCCAGAACGGGAAAGAAAGATTTTACCTGTTATAATTGTGGCAATAAGGGTCACTTTAAAAGAGAGTACCGAGCATTGAAGAAAGATACTGACACACAGGATTCTGCCAACATGACAAAGGAGACATGTGATGCCATGATTATAAGCGTAAACAGTCCGATTGAATCATGGATCTTAGATTCATGGGCATCTTTCCACTCCACCCTATGCCGAGAAATCATGGAGAACTATGTCAGTGGTGATTTTGGGAGGGTTCATCTAGCTGATTGTAATACCCCAAAAATTTGACCAGTGACTAAAATATAAGTTTAGAAAGTTTAGTGGCTAAAGTATGAACTTTGAAAAGTTTAGGACCCAAAATTTATAATTTTTAAAAGTTATATATATTTTATGCCTGTAAATGAAAAGTTTGGATTAAAACAGAGATTTTAGCGGGATCATATTTTTGGTACGGGAATTGTGATAAAAGATATAAAGCAGTAAATTTTGGTATTGAAATCAGATAATCGGATCGAACCGGAATTTTACGAAAATTTGAAGGATGTTATAAAGGTTGGAAATATTATTTATATATTTTAGAAAAGTGAAATTTAACATGGATCAATGAAATTAAAGTCGATTTTCCATGTTAAGCCAAAATTTTGGAATTTAGTAACTAAGTAAAATAAACTAAAATAGTTCTAGTTTACTATTACAATTTATTTAAAATAAATACGGTAATTAGAAACTATTGACATAATTATACATGCCACTATAAGTCAAAAGAAACATCATAGATGTCTTACTGATACTGATGATATGTATGTCTTTCCAAAAGATGCTCCGATAGCTCCTTACTGATCGTACTTATCCTTTCTAGAACCTACGCATGAAAATCATCACGCGCTAAGTATAACTTAGTGAGGCAGTAATACTAAAGGTGAGAATAATTAAATAAAATATCAAAATATATAAAATCATTAAAATAAAACAGACTGAAATTCTTCAGAACATTCAAACCAGATATCTCATGTTGAACTTTATAATAAACCTGAAAATAATCATCTGATAATTTTCACAAGATCATAAATAATCAAATCAGACAGAATAATCAGTTCATAATTCTTTGTAGTCAGACACTTTTCAGAACTTTCTTATTTCATTTTTATAGCCCAAAGTATATTTTAAGAGAATATAAGATACGTGAGTCAGACGAGTGTGCGCAATACAAATATTAGATCATCAGTCGGAACAGATAAGCACTCACAGTGCTATCACATCGGAAATAACAATATGCACACCAAGTGCATTCAGATCAGAATATATATATATATACTAGTGTACACTCCGGTACACCACAGTATATCAAAATCAGAACAGATAATCACTCCACCTCATGGCATGCCAATTGTACCTTTGACTCTCAATAGAACATACAGTGGGCTTTTAGTTCATTTCTTAACCATTTGATAAACATCATATCAGAGTTGAAAATATATTTAATTCACATTCTTAAAATGTGACATGGACAATTCATGTCCAAAAGCTTTCATAAAACTTATTAAAGAAATTATGGATATAATTTCATAATCAAAACATAATTCATATCTTTGAAATAAACAAGGTGAGATTGACTTATCACAAGTCGTCATCGATCAAAATAATTAAATAAATAAATTGCACTCACCTTTGCCTCACTTAAGAACTTGTATACGATAATACTAGTCACAAGCTTTGTCCTTTCCTTTCAGATTGTTCGGATTGCTAGTTTTATTGTAATCTAACAATACCAAATTATAACACAAAATGTTTAAACTACATATTAGTATCGTTCTAACATAAGCTCATTTTTTACATTTAAAAATCTATAAAATAAAATTGATAACTAAATCGATATCAACCTAACTCATAACTCCATTATAACTTTAAATTTCTCAAAACACTTATTCAATTCCAAAAATAATTATTCCCAACATGATCTTCAACTTTTACCAATTATAAAATCAAACCACATATTTTAAATTCTTTCTAGAATTAAACTCAACTTTTCCTTTAATTTCATAATAGCTCTTCACTATTATGATCATTCCCCATTAAATATATAAAATTTCCAGCAACTAAAATAAAAGTTCAAATCAATACTTCAACCTTACAACTTGATAAATTTGAAATTCAATCCCAACTTAATACTTAAACTCCAAAAATCAGCACACTTTCAAAAATTTCCAGAATTATTCTAACTCACCCAAATGGTACTTTTACATTTAAAAATTACTCTTCATCTTCTAATCCATTTCAACTTAAATTCTAAAGTTTCCATATTCAGACAACTTGCACTACCTTTAAAGAATCAATATTCTGTATTTATAAACTCACTGAAATTTAATTCTGTTTCTTCCATTGAAAACTAGACTCGAATCTGAATCTATCCATATAAATAACTCATTCTAATTCAATCTATACAATTTATGGTGAATTTTCAAAGTTGACTGACAGAATCTGTTTTATGCAGAATCTGCTGCCCGTTTTTCTGACCTTTCCTCGGTTAAAAATTCATATCTTTTTTATACACCTTGAAATTGATCCCCGTTTATTTTAAACAAAACTAGATTGATATAAGAACATAATATATAAAAATCACCTCCAAATAATTTTTATAGAATTTCTGGTGAATTTTCAAACTCACTGCCAAATTCAAAATCTAAACTGTTTTCATTAATTTACATCCTTAGGTTCTTCATCAATTCTTACAACACTTCTAATATCAAGAATTGATCTTTAATCATAAAAATCAAACTTCCCCTTCATCAATATCTTACCAACTTGAGCATAAAAACATGAAGATTTTTATGTCAAATGAAAGAGAAATTCATGTAGGTTATTTTATCTTTAATAACCTAACTTAAAATTCTAATAAAATGAACCAAAAATTTAAAAGAAAATCCTCTCACCTTGTAATTTGAGTCTCACGGCTGCTGGAGAAAGAAGAAAC